CGTCGGCGCTTTCGCCCAGCACGGCCCAGCGCGAGCAGAGGCGCTTGAGCCGAGCCGTGTCTGTCCCCAGTGCGCCTCTTCTTCCAGGGCCGATACAGCCAGGATGTGGCTATGTCGCGGTGCTTTCAGTCGCAACACGGAATTTTACAGGACGTCAGTGTAGTTTTGATGCCATTTACGATTTGCAAAAATGTAACATGTTCGTTTTCTCCTCCAGCTTGGCCCTGCGCCGTCACCGTGCGATTTATCCCAGGGGTGCAAAGTTGACTTCACAGTAGAAAATCAGTGTAACGAACCATGCTAATAGAATAAAGGACAACTCACACGGCTGTGTCTTTCAAGAGGTGCCAAAAGTTTTTCTTTCTCAAACGAGATCCCAAGCCCCTCCCTGGTAAAAACGCTCCACACACGCTATACAGGAGGAGCTTCCTCTGCCTGACCAAGGTTGCCTGTGAAAACCCATGGCTTTCTGCCTTGGCCAGGAAGACGACAAGGCGCCCCTGGTGCTGCTGCTGGTACTGATGGCTCCAGCCAGGCAACGCGGCAGGAGGGAGGCGCGGCATCCGGCCGGAAAAGAAGCGCCTGGACTGGCTCCAGCTGCCAGAAGACAGGAGAAGACCCCAAGGACTCCACGGGGGGTGGGGGGAGGTGAGTTCCGCAGTGTTGCGTGATGTCATGTCAAGATACAGAAATCAGTTGTGTTTATGTACATAAGAGAATCCCAAAACGAAGAATCCCATTTACAGTAGCATTGAGAATGAAGTACTTAGGCGTAAGTTTAGCAAAAGTACAAGATTTTTATGTTGAAAAGCACAAAACGATCTAAAAGATACTGAAGCTAAGTCTATGGAAAGACACATCATGTTCTTAGACCAAAGGGCTTAACATTAAGACCGCAATATCCTCCCAACAGACTGATGAACTCCCCCTCTCAGAATTTCCTGCAAAGCAACAGTAATCAGGACAGTGTGGTGGCGGCAAAAGAACGAACATACAGACCATTACAATACGGCAGAGTCCAGAGCCAAACCTACACATCTGTAGTCAAGTAGGTTTTGATGCTATGATGGGCTTAAGAAAAAAAATTCAGTTTTTCATTAAATATTACTGACAACTGAATATCCACATGCAAATGAAGTCAGAGTCCTACTTCATAACATATATAAAAACGAATCAAAGACCTAAATGTAGGTCCTAAAACTATAAAACTCCTAGGAAAAAAATAGGCTTAAATATGCATCACCCTGAATTAAGTGGTCTCTTAGCTAGGAAGTATTTGATGGCACAAAGACCAAAGGAAAAACAAGCTGGACTTAATGGAAAACATGTGTCTCAAAGGACACTATCAAGAAAGTTGAAAAGGCAAGCTCACAGAATTAAAATCTGCAAATCATATATATTGTACAAGGGTCTGGTATCCAGGATATATAAAGAACTTTCGCAAACCAATGGCAGATAAAATCTAAATGAAAAATAGGCAAAGGATGTGAACATTTCTCTCCAGAGATAGAAAAATGGCTAATAAATCATCTGAAAAGCTGGAAATTTAGCCATTAGGTAAATGAAAATCTTCACATACAACTTGGATGGCTACGATCAGAAAGACAGGCGACCTGTTTTAGTAACAAAGTGGTGCCAGGTTAAAAGCAGTGCAACAAGGTTCAGGTGTTTCCACTTAAATAAAGTGCCCAGAGTAGGAAAGCCCATGGAGACAAAAAGTACATTTAAGAATATAGGGAAGGGGGGGAAAAAAAAAATCAAAGCAACTTTTACTCCCACTTCCTTAAAAATGATGCCCCGTCTCCGCTACACTTAACTTCACTTGCTTGGCAGTCTCATATGGCGTACGTCCCTGCCACCAACATGGTCGTCTTCTCCCAGTGTTGTATCACCAGGCCTCTGAGATGCTGCCAACACTCGCATCTAGAGTCTTACTTATTTTTAAGTGAATAATTATTTAAACATTTTAGTATTAAAAACATCAACTCTGAATTTCTAGCTATTTTATAAGGAAAATTCTAGTGAAATAATACGCGGTAAAGACTATTATGGCTTTTAATACATATACTTTTCGTTGTCAACCTGAGATGAGGAATAACCAAAAGTTTGTGTAATGGTTTTATTGCCCTTTACCAAGTTAAAAAAAACACACACACATTACAGAAGCAGCAGCAACTTCAATTACAAGCAAAGGTTGATTTTGCTCCTGCAAATAGCTTCTTGTTTGGGTATTGGTAAATAATTTAAGTGTCATAAGTAAACTTCACATAGGTATACTGAATATTTAAATCCATTAGCTGAAAGTATGGCTTAGTTGATATGTGAGCCAAACAACACGGCAAAGTAAAATGGGGTTTCTAAAAATTAGAGTGTAAAACGAACAATTTGCCAAAGGTAAATTTTCTTTCCACTTTACAGACTTCTTGCCTTGGTGCCTCCTCTTTCTTAGCTGAAGAACGCATCTTGTAGAGGGAAAGCTGCATCCGTGGCCTCGCCCACAGGGCAGTCTCCCTGCTGGTGCCCTGCTTTCGAGAGTGGGAGATGAACTCAGCAGCACAGTGTTGTCTTGGGGATCTAAAAGGAGCTCGGCTGTTTGAGACAGTAGCCATGTTTATTGACTGAATATTCACACCAAGCACAAAAGCAAGCTGGTTCTCCCTAATGGACAGGGCAGAAGATGACGGTTCCGTTTAGTTTCTTGCCAGGCTGCATGTATTCACATGCAAAACATCATGGTGAGATTCAGGGAAAGGTGGACTGAACCAAAGAAGTAAGTGAAAATAGCACCAGAAGGACCAGGTACCAGGAATCACATACTCCACCCGTTGAGGAGACCTATGATGTGAAATTATTGCACTTGGAAAAAGTGGATGCCAGCAAATTGCCAGACTCAGTGATTTTAAACCGAAAGCCATTTCAAGATGGTTTTGCGCTTCCCTTCAAAGGAAACCCGGCTAATACCAGTAAATCTAGCCGTTTACTTTAAAAAGCAAGGATAGAGGACCAAGTTTTGGTTCTAAACTATAATTGCACTATGAGAAAAGAGGCCATCTTACATAGTGGTACAAATTTGGTCCACATCAAATACATCGTTATAAAAATAAACACGTTTGTTTTCGTAAAAAATAACATTGCATTCCTTGTTCAAATTGCACAGTACAAACAGGCTCTCTAAATTAATACTGTTATAAGGTAATTAGAATTACAGTGGCTATGTGTTTAGTCTAAAGCAATTAAGGAAATGCAGTCCTGTTCGATACTGTATGAAAACTAAAATTCAAGTCATGTCTAGAAATACAGAAAACATTCTGAAAGTTTACAATGAAGAATGCATTCTTTACACGTTAATGTTTAGAAGCTGTGGTGGTGATACAGGATTCAGCAGCCTATTTACACAAAAGCCCACCTTTATTCAATTTACAAAAGCAATAAATAAGAAGCCACATTCGTCTGCACAAGACCTGGTCTATGCCATGACCCGTGTGAGCATTTCTGCCCCTCGCGACCAAGCCAGCAGCCCCGGCTCCTGGGAGGAAGGCCACGCGGCCGCCCGTCTCTGAGCCCACCGCTGTGCAGAAGCCGGCGTAAAGCCTTTCGGGTTGCGACACAAGCCCGAAGCTACGGACAGCGCCTTTGAGTGTATTTACACGAGAGTATCCCCAGACAGGTACAGTCCTTGCCCACCAAGGCTGCGGTGGCCGCCGAGAAGCCC